ACAGTTAGGGTGGCTAGGAGCTGGAACCAACTTCCAAGGGAAGTGGTGCTGGCCCCTACCCTGGGGGTCTTTAAGAAGAGGCTGGATGCCTACCCGACTGGACTCATTTGAGTCCCGTTTCTTGTTTTGGGGTTTTGTTGTTCTCCCGCCCTGGCAGGGGGTCGGGCTAGAAGATCTACTAGGTCCCTTCCGACCCTTAATCTATGAAACTATGAAACTATTAAAATGCTTTTTGCCATGAGGAAAATGAGTCTGCTTGGCTTGTGGTGGTGATAGTAGAAGTACTTGTTCCTAGATGCCCAAGTGATGCACGTTACATATACAGCCTATAGAGAGCATCCTAAACTATTAAAGCCAGCCCTATTTTGCCACAGACCTCCAGAAAGATTTTTACCATGGAGTTCAAACAGTTTCTAAATTGACATAAAATCTAAATGGCAAGAATAAAGGAAGGAAGCTGAAGTGTCAGCCTTTATAGCTTAGCAAGGGAATTGACCATGCTCTTCTTGGAATCTGAGGTGAGGTTAGTATTTGGCCCACACGGCATCTAGGTAAGACGAGAGAGATCTGCCTTCTCCATTCCTGGAAAATACCTTTTAACATGTTTGGTGTAGATGCTTGGATTTCTGAGAAGCATTCTTATGCAGTACTGCCCTAGAGAAGAATAAGTGATTCTTGTTTCTGGTGGATGTTCTGAGCTCACTGAGGATATATCTGTAGAAACCAAGACTTTCAGACTTCCCTACAAGTTTCTTAGCCTTTTGTTAATTAGTTAATTTTGTCAGTCTTTTGTAAAAACATGGCTGACATTCTTGTTCCAAGTTACATTAAAGTGCTGACGGACAGGTTGGCTCACTATGACTATAGGCCATTTTTTCTGTGGTGTTACGAGTTCATCCTAATGCCAAATATGTTGTGTTTTGACTTGATGCGTGAATGAAGAGGAGGGAGCTATATACTGAGTGGTTTAAATTTTTTTTCCCTTGATCACACATGACATGCACCCAATTTAAACCAAAGATCTAAAATCATTCCTATGCAGGTGGCACGAAGTGCCTTAGTGAACATGTAATGGCTGGTTCATTCACTAGTTCTCAGTATATAGTTGCCCATTCAACAAGTAACAGTTGCATTTGACTCTGATTATACAGTGTTCCTGGACATAGTAGCCAAGTCCTACTTGCTTCCCAAAAAAGAGGAGGTTTGTAGTCTCCTAATACTACTGTGTGGGGAAGCTTACTTGTTCACAAAATAAACTACCAAATTCTGGCTTCCATAGTAAAACATTTCATAAACACTAAGCTAAGTAAAAGTCCCGAGATTTTTAAGGAAGTGTCCATTATCTAGGCTCAGTACTGATTTTCCTGAACCCTGTATGAATTATTTATCTTAAGCAGTCAACATTTTTAAGTTCTCTGGTGCTAATGGAGTTTAACATTTTACAGAAACTTACCAGTTTCATAGTCTTAGTCTTGTTATCCATACATGCTTCTATAGGTTTAAGAAAAACACCCAAAAACCCCTTTTTTTCTTCTGAAGGCTGTGTAAACTGTTAGACAATATAAGGCAAAGGACAGACCTAAACTGCACCTAAACCTGTATTTCCAGTCAGCTCAGGATATACTCTTCCAAGTGCAGTCTGACCCAGTCACTCTTTGTGCAGATCCTGGTAAGGGTAAGCTAAATATTGGGTCTTTTCTAAGCAACCCCCCACAAAAAGCCCACACTGGAAAGGAAGGTCAGTTAACGTACAATAACGCCAGTAGGGTAAGATGCACTATATTATCACAACTTATTTTTTGGCTGTTTGTCTAGGATCAGAATTGTGAAATGCCCTGGCAGAGCACTGAGTTCATGGTGTCTCAATGAAGTAAAACATGCTAGTAATTGGAGCCTACCAGTGGTAGGGGAACACTGATGTAGCCACTCAGTGGCTGTACTCTTCAAACATAGACACTCTTGACAATGGGGAAATACTGGTGACTTATTTGAGTCTGTATTGAAGGGAGTGTGCTATTTAACTGTGTTTGTTTGTTATTTATGTAGGGGTCTCTTGTGCTCAAAAGGATGACCTCCCATTTTGAATCCCTTTTAAGAAGTTTGGCTGGGTAGAGTAATTGTGCCAAACTAGATAGATAGTATGTAAAGCAGCTGCTGATGTAAAGCAGCTGCATTATCACTTGCACAGTATTTTAAGACATATTAGTTCTCTCCTCTTAGAGCTGTCCTCCATGTCCCAGTACAGATTTCTCTCCCTTTTCCCAGCTATCATTTATAGAGTCATACATTTTTGGAGATGGGGAGAGAGGGAAATTTCGAACAGATTTTTGCTACCTTGTCCTTCCATTTTCCCCTCTGTTTGATAACCTTAGCTGTAATTTAAAGTATCAATGCCTGTGCCTCTTATTATAGTGGTCTTTATGGAGTTTGTTTAACACATCTATGAGTTCATAATCCAAGGTCTTTAAAGTCTCCTTGCACTATCCTTTTAAATCTGGTGAGAGAGTCTTACAAAAGTTCCTGTATTTACAAGTATAATAAGCTGATTTTTAAAATATTCTACTTTTTGACATAATTAAAATACAACTTGGTGATAGTTCTCTTAAATATGTAAGATTTTATTATTTAAATTGGAATAGGATTGTAAATGACAAAGCATAATAGAAGTAGGAAATATGGTGCGTGTGACACATTATACTCTGCCTGTGGATCATTAACACTTTAGCTGCTGATATTGTACTTTCTGCGTATTTAAAGTTTCTAATGTAGAGTTTGAACTCGGTACAGGACTGATGCAACCACAAAGAAAGCTTACATTCAGAGCTGATACCCTTAAACATTGGTCAGATTACTTCTTTTAATCATCCCTAGTTGCTAATACAGAATTAACTCATCCAATTGACTTTTACAAATGCTCTAGCTGCAGTTCTAGAATTGTTTTTGCATGTCATGCATGAGAATGTAAGTTCAGTTTGTGGAACGAAATGAATACAGTTTAAGTGCTAGACTACTGAGTTGCCATCTCAGATATGTCTTGATTGTGAAATGTTAATTTAACTGTTTTGAGGTTGTTATTGTTGAAGAAGTGAGAACTCTGTGCTGAAGTATATAGTGTTCAAGTGTAACTGCTCTACCCTACCAGTCTAATTTTTCTTTTGAGAAATCATTTATGCTGTGATGAATAGAATCAAACATGAGAGATCCAGGACCAGAAGCAAAAGAGCTTGTGCACCGCAACTGCCACAAACTTCTAAAAAATTCTGAAATAAAGCTTATCTAAACCAAATGTGAAGCAACATGTTCACTGCCCTAGTTTGCGGCTTCACGCTTTGTGGCACAATGTCAATGTAGGCTTAGTACACAACGTTCTCTATTTATGATCATCTTGGCATTTTACAGTATTGTAAATACATTGGATCTTATGATTTTAGAAGCAGGTTTTAATTTCCTTTTCCTTTAAATGTCTGTTGTCTCTCTGGAGACCTGAAGTATATTTATAAATTCAAACAGCCTTAATGTGTGTTACATGCGTGTGCTTGCCACGTTGCTGCTGTCTGCATTTTCCAGTATAATGTATTGCAAGTGCAGCTTTCTTTTTGCCCCTCAAGGTGTCGCCCTGCAGGGCGGGAAGTAGGGGAGTTACCACTGCTATATATGTGTATATATGGTCATATCTGTAAGATGGAAAGACTCATTCCATTAGCTGCCTATAAACCCAATGGTCCTATTTCCTGAGGGATTTAAATTTGGTATTAAATAAAGTGAGGGAAGACTTTTGGTTTTGATTTTATTACATACTCTTTATCATAAAGTATACTGATACTCCGGTGCAAAATAATAGTTGGTGTTATGATCTGACATGTTTGAATGCAAATCATTACGTATGTGCTCCTGGTTTCCTAGAAGTGTTGATAGATTGATGTTTAATATATTTTATAACTAATGCACAGCCATATTTCTGACCAATATTTTTAAATAAACTAATTAAACTTTTGCAGTAAAAGTTGCATTTATATTCATACCTAAGACTACCTAGAGGAATTACTACTTAAAGGATCTAGAATGAATTAGCGTAGTAGTCTCCAAACTTGTGGATTGCAAAGCTCTTAAGGACTGGCTCACTCATATGGTGCATGATCTTCTTGATTACATCTATCAAAATCAAAAGAAGCTGAAAAATAAATTTGAATAACCAGTGTCAGTAGTTACCATAAACTGGTGGACTGAATTTGTCATCAGTGAGAGAAGAGGTGGTATGCATGATTGTGAATGGAAGGCAAGGTAGCCATGGGAAAAACAGACATTAGGAAGTGGTCCTTTGGGGGGCTAAATCTGCAATTTAGCACCACCTCCTCTGCTTGCTTATTTATATTCACAGTCCTACTCCAGTGGGTTTACCCACATCTCAGGCCCTTGAGCTCAGAGACCTTGGCGGGGGGAAGGGGAGATCCTAGCAATGCCTACACAGCATACATGTGAC